ACACAAGCAACAGAGCTAGGGCCAACTGATCTATACGTGTCAAATGTAACCTGCGCAAAAAACCATCGTGGAGATGAATTTATTCTTCAGGATATCAACTTTGTTGCACCTTCAAAGAGTTTAACAGTTATCACCGGGCCGGTTGGAAGTGGTAAGTCTACTTTACTCTCAGCGATCGCTGGTGAAATTTCCGATACTAGTGGGACGATTTTTTATCGAGGCAATGTCATTTACTTGCCTCAGACTGCTTGGGTGTTCTCGGGAACGATAAAAGAAAACATTCTGTTTGGCCAGCCCTACGAGGAGTTCAGGTACGAAAGAATAATCGACGTCTGTGCTCTGAAAGAAGACTTTCAGCGGTTACCTGATGGTGACCAAACAGTTGTTGGAGAACACGGCGAGGTTCTGAGTGGAGGACAACAGGCAAGAGTAAGTTTGGCTCGCGCAGTTTATGCTGACGGAGATTTTTACCTGTTGGATGACCCACTAAGTGCCGTGGATTTCAAAGTTGGCCAACACATCTTTAACAAGTGCATCAAAAATCTACTGGCTGATAAAATTGTTCTGTTAACTTCTCATCAGCAACAGCACATGGAAAATGCCGATGATGTAATTGTGTTGTACAAAGGGCGTGTGCTAGAGAAGGGACGCTTTGTCGAGCTGCACGAAAAAGGTGTCATCAGTGCAACTGTTGACCCGCTCTACAAAGCAACTTTAAAGGACAAAACAGAATCATCTGAGACGTTTGCCTTGGAGGATACTGAGAAACACGGTGATGAAGAAAAATGCCAGAAAATACATCCCCTGCCAAATGAAGCGAGGAGTTTGGAGATAGCAAAGGAGGATCGTACGATCGGAGTTGTGACATCCAAGCTTTACTGGGACTACTTCAGAAGTGGAGCTCATCCTTTGATGATAACTGGAATGGTTGTTTTAATTCTCATTACTCAAGGTAAACTTATTGTTATACTGAGTTCCTAGCTTTGAGTCAGGCCCTTAAAGAAAATACAGCCATCTTTTTTCTATTACGTGCAAAGCATCCATTACAACTATCGATTTATCCAGGATTATGAGTTAAAAATAAAAAATGTAAATGAACTTGCATTAAAACCTTGCTTAACACATAAAAAGGGGGACTTTTAGCAGTTTTCTGCAGAACAAGAACGAGCGTGAGGCACAGACGAGGAAAACGCGAGGGGTTACACACGCGCGATTGGAGAAGCACGTGTCTAGCCGCTCTCGTTTGCCTCGCGCAGGCTTGCGCTGAAAAACAGGAGAAAAAGTGGGCTATTTTGCGGGCTACCTTATCAGTATTAAGCTTCCGAGGGCAGTTTTCTTTTAATGTATACCATGTTAACCTATTCATCTATCCTAACATACTGCAGTAGTTACAGAAACATCCTCAACCTGCAAAACTTTTAATAGTATTTAATCCAGGCAGCTAATGTCTAGACCAAATAAATCTTACGATGTTCAACTAAATGATCTCACAGAAATACATTTCAATTAACTCATCTTGATGATGTCTTCTTCAGCCGTCATAGTTGCCCCGGACTTGTGGCTCTCCTTTCTTGCAAGGCTAGTCCAAGAGGATCAGAAAAACAAGACTTTTCTTTCTGTCTTCGCCTGTCTGGTTGGCGCGTGTTTTATATTTACTATCATTCGGGCTTATGGATTCCTCCTACTTTCTCTAAAGTGCGCCGAGCGTCTCCACGATAAAATGGTTGTGGCCATTTTACAAGCACCTGTTCTGTTCTTTGATTCTAATCCTGTGGGAAGAATCCTAAATCGCTTCTCGAATGATATTGGCTGCGTGGATGAGTTGTTACCCAAAACATTCCTGTGGGCAATACAGGTGCTCTTGCTGATCTCTTTCCAAATTCTGGTTATAGTTGCCACAAATTTTTGGCTCGTCTTTATTGTTGTTCCAATTTCTATGCTGGTCTTTTTTCTTTCCAATTATTACTTGAAAACGGCCAGAGAACTAAAGAGGCTAGAGTCGATATCCCGCAGCCCAGTGTTCGCTCACTTTTCGGAGACTCTGGTTGGACTGGACACGATTCGTACAAGAGGAAGACAGACAGATTTTGTGGACGCACTATACAGGTACGTTGGAGACATTGACTCAGGATATACTGCATGAGATGATTAATCAACAGAGCAGGAATGAGTCCTTATTGACACTATATCTAACTTAATTCACCAAATTGTTTTCTTTCTGACGTGTGCCAAGACACTGGTCAGCAAGTGAACCTTTCGGGAGTTTCTTGGAGAGTAGTGGGGGGAAGGGAGGGGAGTGGGATTCGTTGGAAGGCTCTATTCTATTATCAGGCAAAGGGCCGTATTTTACCCCAAATATTCTCCTTAGAACGTTTTTAGATTAATTTCGAACAAAAAACCCAAGTAATCGCAACAAGCCGATCAGAACAAAAAGAATAGATCACATCCAGTTAACGAGAACTAAAAGTAACAACAAAGAAACGGCATTGAGTACAGGAAAACGGAAGAGACCAATGGGGCGGTTGGTTTTGCTTTTGCAACGGATTAAATTTTTTGAGTGGTGCGCTCGAGTTTTTTTGGACCAGTCACAGAGAAAAGTGATACAATGCTGATGTAACACATATTTTTTTGACAGTCAACCAAAAATGTTTCCTCTATTAAAACTAACTGTGATTAGCATTCATCCCTTCAGATATCAAGATGTTCATAATCAGGCATATATTATGGTGATGGCCAGCGGCAGATGGCTGGGAACACGTTTGGATTTTCTCGCTTCCCTGTTAGTCGGTGCAGTTGCTCTGGCTGCAGTCTTGGTATCTCAAGATGCTGGTAAGCTCAAGATTCTTAGTAACGTTTTTGAGTCTTCCTATTTATCAGAAATCTGTATAGTCGTGTATTAACACAGCATACACTACTGAATAGTGAAATAATTGAGACTATACGCGCACTCACATAAGTCGTTAGGTGTGTACAGGTGAGTGTGAGGACATTTTAGATTCGCGATAGTTCTTGGGAAATATTTCATGAAGCAAACAAAAGAGGACTTTTTAATCGTCAAGATAGTCTCATCTAAACGCGAGAGTGGCTGGGAGAGTAGTGTACCCGAAAGTTACGCAAACCCATGTGGCATTCAAAATCTAACCGCGGGTGGTTTTTAGACACGAAAGAAACGTGAGGGTCACTCGGGCGGCTTAGGAGCTCAGCAAACTTTTACGTGTCTTATATGATTCACAAATGAAATTTGGGTCCTTAACCTTAAGAAGACTAAAACAAAGAGCTGTTATATAACAATCCAAAAGAAAGGTTTCTATATTTCCCATTAACTGACCGCTATGACAAGACAAAGTGACCAACGCCTTTTAAATTTTCTCTCGAAGGTTCGAGCCAGCGTGAGACTGGTCTAGAATTTATGGATTAAAGTTCCAATTTCTTGTTTTTCTCAGCTTCTGCTGGTCTCGCTCTCGTTTATGTCATCCAAACTCTGAACATGACTCAATACGCAGTTAGAAAAGCCTCTGAAGTAGAAAACTACATGACGTCAGTTGAACGAGTTATAACCTACACCAAACTTGACCGGGAGCCTGGATACCAGGAAGAGCGACAACCTCCAAAAGACTGGCCTCGAAGAGGAAGTATTGTATTCAGAGATGTATCTCTGACCTACTATCCCGGGGGACCTCAAGTGCTGAAGAAAATCAATCTTAGCATCAAAGGAGGAGAAAAGATTGGAGTTGCCGGCCGCACAGGAGCTGGGAAGTCATCCTTTGTAGCAGCTCTTATGCGCATGCCTGATGCTGACGGAGAGATAATCATCGACGATGTTCCAATTAAAGAGATAGGCCTCCAACAAGCCCGACGAGGTATCTCGGTTCTTGGCCAAAGTCCTGTTCTTTTTAGTGGATCACTGAGAAAAAATCTCGACATTTTAGACAAGTTTCAAGACGCTGAATTATGGCAGGCCTTAGAGGATGTGCAACTGAAAGATTTCGTCGAGAGACTTGAAGCCAAGCTTGATCACGAACTGCTGGAACAGGGCGCCAATGTCAGTGTCGGAGAGCGGCAGTTAATTTGCATGGCTCGAGTGCTGCTACGACGAAGTAAAATCGTCGTCTTGGACGAGCCAACTGCGCATGTAGACCCAGACACAGAGCAGACGATATGGAATGTAGTGCGGGAAAAACTGAAGGAGTCCACTGTCATCACTATAGCTCACCGTTTGAACACGATAAGAGACTGCCACAAGATTTTGGTCTTGAAAGATGGAAAAGTTGATGGATTTGACAAATTTGATTCAATAATGAACTATAACTGAGATGCACTCTTAGGCGAGAGACATCGATTGTCAGGTCAAATCTGACAAGTCCTGCAGAAGTGAAGAGATAATAACGTGATTTCGAGTGCGATTTTATGTTAATAATCACAAGTAAATTTTTCAAAGAAGACAAAAATTGCACGACCCAGGAGGGCGAGTGCAATTTGTTGTCTTTGAAAATTTTACAAATGCTTACTTTAACCAAATTGCATGAGAAATCATGGTGTTGCTAATTACTAATTTTCATGAAAATTGTATCACAGAAAGTCAAGACAGGCGAAGTTTTTACAGGGTGTCGGCGCTCGTGTTACAACTTTGTTTTCGTGTAACAAAAACTGCACTCATTTTCAGCCATGTAAAAAAAGTGCTCGAATAGTACTCGATTTCTTTAAAAAAGTGCTTGAAACTCAGAAATAGGGCTCGAAAGTTGCTCGCAATTAGGTTTTTTATTTATTTATTTCTAGCGGAGGTTTTTTTCATATTCCTAGTTTTATCAACCTCTTAACTCTCGACTTTCTAATATACTGAGGTGACCATAAAGTGTAACAACGTTTGTCGAACAAAAACTCTTTATTTTCAGTCAAGTATAGTTTCTAAGGCACACAGTATCACAGAACTGTATCCAATCAACCGTATAGCTACAACTATTATTAGTATCTCTTCGATCTGTTGTATCGAAGCATTACAGAAGACAAAATATTGCATTTAACATATGGAAAATTGTGAAAAATGTGCTGAAAGGTTTCCCACAAAGCGACAAAATGCTCAAATTCTGCTCAAAAGTCAGACATTCCCCAATTTTTAATATCTGCGTTCACAAGGATAAGTGTTCGTTTAAAATGAGAGAGCGTTTAGTGATTGTTACAGAAGAAGCAGGAGATATTTGTTTGTTCATAAAGTATAATTTGTCCGTGGACGTTATATTATCTGTTCCTCGATAATGATTTATTATCCGCGGACAAATAATTAAAAAACGTTCTTTGTTCTTCTGTAAACTTAGAGCGAAACCACGAAATGCTTTTACAATAATCATTTCACTACAAATTTGCATCATTTTGTAGACAACAGCACTGATGCGTGAAATGGCACTGTTTTCGAGACCCTTTCAAGCTAATTTTCTTAGGAAAACAAATCTATCTACAGTCGAACTTGTATTAAGTGGCACTGTATTTAGAGGTCACCCTGTATCACGCGGTCGTTCCACAGTCCCGAAATTTTTCCCCTCAATTGTGTTACGGGAAAATTTATTGATTTTTATGTGTAGTTGTTTAAGCATATGAATTCTCGTATCTGTTCTGTACAAAAGAGCTATTATATGATACTTGCTCTTCACTGACACCATTTTTGGATTGAAAAAACTATATATATATATTGTGGGACTATCCCGTTAATTGACCTAAATATAAGAATTAGGGAATATATACAACGCCTTTGCTCTAATGATTGCATTGATGCTAAATTAAGCAGATCATCACAAGCTCTGTTAGCGCCGGCATTTAAGATTGTTCTTAAGCCGTACTCTTTGGCTGACTCCAATCTGTTTTTCAGGGTTTTACTAATACCTAGCAAGTTGGGGCTACAATGTTCGAAATGTGGCAGCACGTGCGCTTTGTATATATTGACAATGGTGTGCTTCGGGACTAGGTGCTTAAGGCTGACCTAAGGCGGCCACAATTGTTTAGGATGGGTCTTTTTTAAAATATCATTAATATGAGGCTTGAAAGTGAGTTTATCAGATAAGCTAACCCCAAAGATTGTAAGTGTAGTTTGAGGCTGGATGTTGTTATTGCTGGAATTAAAGTCGTATTTGTATTGAAATCTACTGAAAGTCATTACTTGTGTTTTTGACGCATTAACTTGGATAGGATTGCTAGAAAGCCATGTCAGTCGCCAGACTTCAATGTCATTGTTCAGTAGAAATTCGTAAACAGCATGGGATTCATCAGAGCCATGTTGGGTTGTGTAATCTGTATATAGTCGAAGAGATGAGATATTGACATTTGCATTGTTGATATCGTTAATAAACTCTTTGACCCAGCAAGCTTCCCTGTGTGCATGGCAGTGAGTTCACCGGTTGTACTAGAAGTTCGCCGAAAACCACAACATATTTATATATTTCAACACTCCTCTAGCTACCTTTTCTTAGTTAGTATGAATAAAAATATCATAGGGAAGAAGTTGGAATTTTGCGCTGAGCCGAGATTAAAATTTGCATATTTACGGTTATGGCGGCAAAGGCAAAGTAGATGTATTTTTTTAACCGAATTCTTTAGCTCACCTAAGTGTGAATAGCCAATTAGAACATGTCAACATAAATGACTCCCAAAGAGTTTTTTTTGGCAAAACATCCTGCCCTTTGCAATCGCGTAAACATCTCCTGATTTCGGTTGCACTTGGAGATCTTTGCTATCTCTACTTTTAAGGACATAACAGAACCTCACACCCGTTGGTACTTAAGCCAGTACATTGTAAAGCTTTTGCGATTACGTAGTTGAGTAAGCTGGAGGACACGTCTGTTTTCGGCATGAACTGAGAATGAAGTCACTGCGGTACCAAACGCTGTCTTGTCCCTCACGTCCGTATAAGTTCTCTCAAAGCAGATCTCCGTGTACCAGGAACTCGTGACGAGTTTCTGTTCCCGCTAGCAAGTTATCTCTACCGAGCTAGTTTCCATAAAAATGCGAAAAAAAAAAACTTGGCCAATATCCAGCCATCTTGACCTCACGCTTGGTCAATTACGCATATTTATTACTCGGGCTTTTCATGGAAAACTACTGAGGTTAAATTTCAGCTTGTTTTTTTTTTTTTCTTTTTTTGCGTTTCGTCTGTAATTTCAGGGTATGTCTTCAGCTATTGGAAGGCCGGACGGCAAAAGGTTGTAGTTCCCACCACTGGCCCGTTGACATGGAGGTGGGAGACTCTGGGTACCCGCCTACTGTGCCCCACCTAGGCAGGTTGCCCGGTCTGTCTGCTAAGGGTAACCCTGTTAAGTCACAACTTACCAAGTAAACGTGTCGAGATGGAGTTACCTGCCTAGCCAGGTTCGCGTTCGTGTTACATATGAAAGCGCCTCAACAACCTAATAATCTGAAAATTTGAACAATAACATTATGGCCGCTGCCTGTAAGGCAATTTTTGCTTTTAGACACAGCTGGTAAAGCAGAAAGTGGTCTATAATTAATAAACGGAGAGATGTAACTAGATTTAAGAAGAAGAAGAACTCGTACTGTTTTCATTTGATCAGAACACATAAGGGACAGTTTGGGACATTAGGGACACACACCATTAAGTGTGTGTTAATGGTGGGTACATCTTTTGTTTCTTTTACGACATTCTTGGTATAATTTGCACATAGCCTGAAGCAGCTCCGGAGTGGAAACCACCAAAAGAAACCCTTTCTTTGGAGAGCTGTCTCAAAAAAGTTTGATGTGAGGTGTCGAGAGAGTTTGCATTCTTCTGGTAAACATATCTGATAGTTTTTTTTTGTTCACTGAGAAGTAAACACCCCACGCACATCAAATACTTAACTGTTCGTAAACATTTCAGCCGCGCTTTGCAAAAATATTTGAAGGATAAAAAAGCACAAGAGCTTCCATTTGGTGCGAAAGTATGCTTGTACTTTGTCCTCGGACATATCACCATCTGTTGTATATTGTCACAAATAGAAATTTGTCTAAGATTGATGCGGAGTCTGCAAAGTGTTTTTTTGCTCTTTGGTAAGTTTATGATCATTAATATTTTATTTAAGAGCACCGACGAAGGGCTAACGCTCGAAACGTCAGCTTTTGTAATCGTTACGGTGGCCAATTTACCATTTCAACTTTGTTGAAATATCCAGATTACATTGAAAACTATAGTCGTATACAGCAGTCAAAGGGATTAATTAGCGCACCAAAAGTTCCAGGTCCTCGTTAGAGTCCTTGTTTTGTGTTTTTGTACATTGAAGACAATTTTATCTCAAAGTGCAGCCAATGCAAGGACAAGGGGAGACAGTTATACCCCACGTATGACGGGGAAACTTAAGAAAAGGTGTAGGGTAAATTGTAGTCTCTCCCAAAGTAGAGCAGCGAACCTTAGAATAAAGGGAAGACCTTTGGAGGTTTATGTCACTTTTAAGGAACTTTTTTGTTTCAAATTATTGTAATTCGAGGTTGAGTCCCGAACTAAGTGCGATTAAATTTAAGATCCAGTCTACTATACTCGAGGAAAATTGTTTGAATGAATGATTTGCCGGACTCATTCGGAAACAAAAGAATTTATGGAGCGAAACCGTCATTCAGATAACAACTGAAGTCGAAAATTTAAATACAAACCATAAATTAAATGACATTTATTACCAAATGGAATAAATTAATTCATGCAACTGCGCCGCGTTTTATCATTACCCGGGAAGGGTTACATCCGGGACTTACGATGGCAGATACGTAAACATCCGAACATCTGATTTCGGGCCTCTTTTAGTTAAGCTTCGGTGCAGGGCAAACATTTTACCAAAGACTGAAGGGCTTTTAGAAGGAATCCTCCTTATCTCCTTTCGGAAGGACTTCAAGAGAGTTGTCCATTTCACCGTCCAGTTAAGTAGGCTGTGTTTACTTGAATTTAGCGCAGTCAATCGCTATAACAAATCATACAGGCTAATCACGTGGCGGCGGGCGAACACCACGTGTACGCGTCTTAAAGATTAGTCTTTCGCCAGTATTTAGATTGCAGGAATAGCGATCCAAACATTACTTGGAAGGTTTCACGTAGACTGGTGTGCCTGTTTTTTCTTTGTGTTTTAGTAGTTCTTCTCGGACGGGGCGGCTTAGAGTGGATAAAATAATCTAGTACGATCCTGAAAACATTCGCAACACCGCCTCCATTTTAATTGCCTTAGCTGAGATCAGCGATTTGATTCAGGATAATACAAGCTACCTACGAGTTATCGGGCCCTCTGCTCTCGCTTCACCTTAGCTCGGACGTTAAAACTTAAGTCTTATTTTGAAGCTGTACGGACTCCTGTCCTAAAGCCTTGGTCAAGCGGCGCATGATAGTCGATGATAGTTGATTCTCTTCAAACTATCATCAACTATCACCAACT